TGGTGATCTCTCACCTATTTATACCTCTCCTTGTACATTATTCAAACACACTTCAATATACAGAATCTTACAATTTCATATATGTCTGTCTCTCTATCTCTTTTATTTAACATTAAATATGATATTTCTAAGCATCACTGTTAAAGATACATATGGAGGTCATTTTTAAATATATTATTATTTTTCAAATGAAAGTCAGTTCATGAGGAGCTGTTGGAGAAGAACTGAACCCTTTGATGTCGAGAATGATAAGACTAGTTCTATTTTTTTTTTTGGCAACTAAAAATAGATTGGTTCTTATTGTTGATAATGACTACCATATTTAACTCTATACTCAAAATATATTTCTTCATTTAATTGAGTAGATAATTCACTAGATATAGATATCCTTCAGGATTGCGTCACCGGGCTAAAAATTTAATGTATGGTGTAAACACAGTGTAGTTTATTTAGCTTGGAAAATGTCCCTGCGATAATATTATTTTAGGTAGGTGTCTCATTAACATGTAAATAAACTGAGTTATATAAGCACTTCGTAATTGTTCTGATTTCTTGTGAACTGAAGTCACTACACTGCAACAATGGAATGCTATCTTCCATACAAGCTCATCTCTCTCTTCCTTCTCCTTTCTACTGCTTTGTCAGCTTCGATAGTAGATGATCGTGAGACCTTTATCATCCACATGGACAAATCAGCTATGCCCACTCCCTTCTCAGATCATAATAACTGGTACACGTCGATGCTTTCATCCCTGTCATCGTCCGATCATGGCGTTTTCCCAACCCATCTCTACACCTACAACCATGTGTTGGATGGCTTCAGTGCAGTGCTATCTCGGTCTCAACTAGATCAGTTAGAGAAGATGCCTGGCCATATTGCCACATGCCCGAGACCTCTGGAAAGCTTCACACCACACATACACCAGAGTTTCTTGGCCTGAAAAATAGTGCTGGCTTGTGGCCTCAAGCCAATTTTGGTGATGACATGATTATTGGTATAATTGACAGTGGCATTTGGCCGGAAAGTGAGAGTTTCAGAGATGATGGCATGCCTCCGGTGCCGGAGAGATGGCGTGGGGCATGTGAGTCGGGGGTAGAATTCAACTCTTCTTATTGTAACAGAAAACTCATTGGAGCTCGCTCTTTCAGTAAAGGGATGAAGCAATTAGGCTTCAACATATCAAGAACAGATGACTACGACTCTCCGAGGGACTACGACGGACATGGGACACACACATCTTCCATCGCTGCTGGGAGCCCAGTTGAAGGTGCCAATTACTTTGGTTATGCAGAAGGAACAGCAATTGGGGTTGCACCAAAAGCCCGGCTTGCCATGTACAAGGTTGTATTCCACAACAGCACCTTCGAGTCTGCTGCCACTGACACGTTAGCCGGCATGGACCAAGCCATAGCTGATGGAGTAGATCTCATGTCATTGTCATTGGGATTCAGAGAGACGACTTTTGATGAAGACCCTATTGCAGTGGGAGCTTTTGCAGCCATGGAGAAAGGGATTTTTGTTTTTTGTTCAGCTGGCAATGATGGTCCAAATGGTTCTACCATACAAAATGGAGCTCCTTGGTTCACGACTGTTGGTGCTGGGACAATCGATCGCGATTATGCAGCTACGGTTACGCTTGGTGATGAGGTCCTCACTGTTAGTGGAAAATCTATCTACCCGTTAGACTTGTTAGTGTCTAGGGTTCCAATATACTTTAGCCAAGGAAATAGAAGCAAAGAAATCTCTGACTACTATTCTCTTGACCCAAAAGATGTTGCTGGGAAGTTTGTTTTCTGTGACTTCATTGATGAAGATTCAGGAGTCAATATGCGTGAAATAGAAAGGTCAGGAGCTTCTGGAGCAATCTTTGCTACAGACTTCCAAAATTTTCTTGGACCACATGATTTCAATTTGCCATATGTGGTAGTAAGCCCAAAAGATGGAGATTTTATCAAAGACTACCTAATCAAACCGGAGATTAATGTAACTGTTAGCATCAAGTTCAAGATAACAGTGTTGGGTACTAAGCCTGCCCCTATCGTGGCGTGGTTCTCAGCAAGAGGGCCAGATCGCAAGTCTCCATGGATACTAAAGCCTGATATTTTAGCTCCTGGGGTTGATATTTTAGCTGCATGGGTACCCAATAGAGGGGTTGCACCTATAGGAGACGACTATTTGCTTAGCGATTTTAAACTCCTCTCTGGCACTTCTATGGCTTCTCCCCAAGCAGTTGGTGTAGCCGCGCTTCTAAAAACTCTCCACAAGGACTGGAGCCCAGCTGCCATCCGATCAGCCATGATGACTACCGCTTATGTGATTGATAACGCCAATGGCCCCATCATTGACATGACCACTAGAGTTGCTGGGACTCCTCTTGATTTTGGGGCGGGACATATTAACCCTGAAAAGGCCATGGATCCTGGTCTTGTTTATGATATAGAGGTTCAGGATTATATCAATTACTTGTGTGGAATGAACTGCACAAGCAAACAGATTAAGATCATCACCAAGAGGTCGAATTTTAGCTGTGATCAAGCCAGTCTTGACCTTAATTATCCATCTTTTATTGTTATCCTCAACGACGCCAACAATATGAGTTACACTTTTAATCGGGTATTAACAAATGTTGTAGATAGTTCCACTACTTATCGTGCAGTGGTGAAGGCTCCGTCAGGGATGGAAGTGGTTGTGCAGCCCCCGGTGGTATCCTTTGCTGGAAAGTACAGCAAAGCCGAGTTCAATATAATGATAGAGTTGACTGCTGAAAATGCTAATTCACAGAGTGATTCAATCTTGAATTATGGGTATTTAAGTTGGAATGATGTTAATGAGACTCATATAGTAAGAAGTCCTATTGTTGCTGTCCATGCACTAAAGTGAGAGATATTGCTGATTGATTATTTGTGAGTATTTAATTTGGAATAATGTCAAGGACACCCTAATGGTGAGAAGTTGTATTGTTTATTTAAGAGGTATGTATAATCAATTACTGTTCAATACCTATTACTCATATGTCAAATTGCTATTTGTGAGTATTTTATTTTATTGTGGTGGGATTTTGAGTGATAGACAGCCATATATCCTTCAAACCTATTAACCATATGCAGACTGCCACTTGTGGCATTTTGAGAGAAACTCTTGTTTTGGCTAGAGAGCTCAGTTGTTAGAATATGTTATGGATGTGTGTGTATAAATAAGTAGAAATTCTTGTGGTGGCTATCAGGAAACATACTTTATATATATATATATATATATATATGTAGAAATTCTTGTGGTGCTTATGAATAAACATACTTTTTATATATATATACACACACAGACACACACATGAGTTTAGAAATTCTTGTGGTCACGAAGAACCATACTTCAAACAGGATTTTGTTTTCTCTGCGACTATATTTGTGTATGCATGGCTGTTGAATAAGACATCTGTCCCGGATTAGAAGAATTATTCATCATTATCGATTACACATTATCTCAAATTTGGCCCCAACATTATCTCAACATCACAATCTTTAGCATTAAATTATGAAAAATGATTCATGCACTAAATAGTTACACTGAATTATTAGACACATTTTTTTAATTGGTCAATTATATAATAAATAAAAAAATGAAATCCTTTACTTAATTATATTTGGTATAAATAACTAATTAAAAAATAATTAGTTAGGCAATTCACTACAAGCGGTGTTGGTTCTACTCTTAAATTATAGGGCATTACTTAGTGTATGTGTCACCTACACTAGTGGCGGGGAAGAATTGTTAATTAACGGGGAAGTGGGAGGGAGTGTTGAGATAAAATTTAGAATTAGTATTTGTAATTATTTTACATAAAGTGATTGCTCTAATATTCTAATTTGTTCTTTTGTGCTTGACAATTTAATTTATTACTGTTGTCCCAAGATATTTGATAATGTAAAGAGTTTGGCAAAATACCAAAAATTTACTTATGATATATTTAATGAATCTTCAAATAGGTCTTATGGTGGCGCTTAATCAAACAAGGTTTTTATGGTGCTTTGGCCTGTAAAATAAAATTATCCCACTAGTGAGCTCCACCCCTTTGATAACATGGATTCTTATTTCTCATTACCTTCCGGTGAAACTATTTTTTAAAAGTTCATTGATATCTTATTTTTATTAAGCATTTTGACTTCAATTCTTGCATAATCCACATCACTTTTGCTTCCATTGTAACAAAAGATCTATTTTTTGTGGAAAAGGCCAGTATTAATAGTTATTATTTTACATATGGACAATTCCTCAATATGTCATTCACAACAAAATATTTTCATAAAAATGGCTTTTGGAAGGAGGAGATACTATTTCACCAATCGAGTTACAAGGTGATTACACTAGTGCACTGGAAACCCTAGTACACTTGAGAGGATTGTGAGTTCCACAAATGAGGTTGGTTCGTTGCGCAGGCCTAAAGTCTAAGCCGGTCGATTTTAATATTGGCATTTTTCTATCTTAACAAGTCGATTTGGCCCTGTCAAACCGACCAAGCTCCCAAGAGTTTTTCAATAATATTGGCATTTTTCTATCTTAATGGGCCAGCCTGTCAAACCGGCAAGGCACATGTGGATATTACACATAATGTTCCAATAAATATTTATATATATTGTAAATTTTTTTTTTTTTTTTTTTGGGAAAGTAAAGGTTAATTCCATAGAAGATAAAAGAGAAGTATAGTAGCCCGAGGAAGGCTAGGAAGAAACTTATACACAAGCCCTATACAACAGGCCCAGCCCAAGATAGATTTCATACCCAGCACAGTCCAATACCGAAACATAACATGACCAAGGAACAAAGTCACAATTTCGGTGAGCAGCGGTTAGCAGCAGGTGAAAGCTTCACCATCAACAACGATTACCCGTTCTACAAGAATGTAATTGTAATATTTTTGACTTTATATACATATATATAAATGTTATATTTACTGTGGGACCCACCTGTTTATTAAACATTTTAATGGCATAGGGTCATTACAGACCCATTTTCTCACGCTGCTTCTTTCTCTCGCTGTTTCTCTCTCCTTCTCTGCTTTCCTTTTTCTTTTCTTTTTCCACAAGCTTCCACTCTTGATTTATCCCTCATTTTTTAGTGTTTTTAAAAGCCGTTTGCGGCTATTCGAAGCCCACGACGAGATCAACAAGTTGATAGGAGTAATTCCTTGGTTGGTGCACTATAAGAGATTCGAAAATCCTAGGATTTTAGGTGAAGAAATTGGGGGTTTTACATAAAAGTGAGGTAGGGGTTCTAATTCACATGTTCTTTGGCCTTTTTGTAAATTACTCACTTAATTGATGATTAGCATACTTAATTTGTAAAAAATTTCTTACTTTATTATATATATATATATATATATATATATATATATATATATATTGTGCCAAGTTGTGACTATGTGTTGCTTGATATATATGATAATAAAACATGTAAATTGTTGATTAATTCAAGCTTTTTGTGCCTTTAGTGCTAGTTTGGTGATTAGAAAGTATGAAATATAATTTTAGAATTTTTTTTATGGTGCAAAGCATGTCTAAGTATCAAATTTTCATGCCTATTAAAAATTAATTTGCTAGAATATGCTATATGGAAGTGTGTTGATTTGTGAAATATGAAAATCTTATGTTGATTTGTGAATTGTAAAAAAAAAAATCCTTCATTTGACATGGCATTGAGAAGTATGAGACATTCATGCATATCATTGGAATAGAATGGGGAAAAAAAAATAAAAAATGATTTAAAAGAAATGAAATGGATTTTGGAAAAGAATTTTGAAAAGGATTTTTGTGAAAAAAACCCGGCCGCCTAGGAATTGCCTAGGGACCATGGCCTTAGTGAGGCCTAGAGGGGATTAGGGAAATCGCCCTAGTGTAGTTGAGTTACCTGGGCCCCAAATGACGTCATGGAGTTACCATGGGTCAGGGACAGTTGCCAATCCTCCTCTCGTGCCACCATGGAGTTTCCATGGGATGGGTTCACTAACGGTTTGAAAATGATGATGGAAATGGTTTTGGAAAATGGGGAGTGATATTGCATGGCATGGCATATCGTTACATGTCATATTCATTTGTGGTATCGGATTAATGATGTGGTATTGTGGTTATTTATATTCTTTTTTTCGGGCATGGTATGTTCCCAATTTTTTTATTCCTATTCATGGTGTGAATTCACGGGGTCTCAGGAGGTATGCCTTAGGCACTTCCTACTGAGCTTATGCTCACCCCTTATATTTAACATTTTTCAGGAAACAGGAAAGAAGTGGTGGATGACATACCACCACGGGCCTAATTTGGATTAAAAGACATTTTTGCTATTTTTGTATTAAGTCCCATATTTTTTGTAAAACCTTAATTTGATATATTTAGTATAGAGATTTGTGGACTCTTGCTATTATAGTTATATTTATGGGCTGTAATTTTATTATAAGTTGTCTAAACGTAGTAAGACATGGACGTTTGAACTTAATTATATTTTTGGGACTGTAATCATGATATTTGGATTAAATAGCATGTAGTTGTTCCACCATAAACTGAACTATGTTGAGATATAATGAATGGATGAATAGGATGCTGGAATATATTAATTGTATTATGTGTTGGGATAGGTCAGATATGTCTTGAAAGGCTAGGAAGGGCCATTGCGTTTTTTTAGCAGGTGGTTGTAGGCCCCCTTTTTAGGGGAGGTCATGCCAAATTTTTTTTTTAAATGGTATCAGTTTAAAGTCATTACGAAATTGGTATCAGAGCCTTGGTTCGAAAACCATTAGGACGACAGGTAGAGGCCTACATAGGGGTTGCATGGGAAGTCATTCGCATAGTTTATGTGATTAATTGGTACAATGTTTTGCTATATGCAAAAGCATGCTTAATTGTTTACTTGTTTATATGCTTACGTGCTTATATGCTTATATTAATATGTTTATTGCCTAGTCTTGCATGCTAAGTGTTAGTATAGCATCCTTTTATGTTAACTGTTCACGGTTAGACCTTAGTGTTATCGTTATTGAATCGTTTTATTTGTTTTTTAGCACGATGTCACGGCGTGAGGAAACCAGGGAAGTTGGCCCTAAACCGACTAGGAGTGATGTTGGCGAGAGCTCTAGCTCCAATCCGGAGGAGCTAAATGATGAGGACACACTTCTTAGGGACTTGATTCCCCCGAGAGTTGTCCCCACAAGGAGGGATAATGTTGAAGCACCGGTAGAAGTGGGTGAAGGTTCTGTGGCACTGGAGTTGAATCATTTGTTGCAAAATTCCGTGAGGGCAACGATTGCTGCTCAGTCACAGTCGGCACCACAACCTACAGTTCAAGTTGAGGAGACGCCAGCTTAGAAGCATCTCAAGATCATTAAGGGGTTTTCTCAACTGATGCCGGTTATGTTTGAGGCGGTGCAGATCCAATGGTAGCAGACGACTACATGGATCAAGTTGAGACACAATTGACCTCAATGGATGTGACAGAGGATCACCTGAAGATCATTCTAGCAACTTACAAGTTTGCTAAGGATGCCAAACTTTGGTGGAAGATGGTTACGAATCGGCATAAGGTGGAAGAGATGAGTTGGGACAAGTTCAAGGAACTATTTTACGAGAAGTATTTTTCGCTTTCTAAAATATGGGAGTTAAAAGACCAGTTTCTTAGCCTTATTCAAGGCAATATGTCAGTGGCGGAGTATGAGAACAAGTTCATTTCACTTTCTCGCTTTGCTCCGAAAATGGTAAGAGATGAAGTTGACAAGACTCGGAAATTTGTTTCTGGTCTTAATGATAGAATGAGGCCGTTGATAACGGCACAGTTTATCAAAGTTTATTCTGAGGTAATAGAGAGGGCCTTGATGCTTGAGGCTGATATTAAAGATAAGGATGCAAGAAGGGAGCAGTGGAAGCAAAAGAGGAACGTAGGGTCATTTTTAGAGGGACCTTCAGGGAAGAGGAACATGGGTGGTTCATCTCAATTTCAGGGGCAACAGTCAGCACGATCCGCTCCTACCACTCCTATGCCAGCAGGGTCTGCCAGGAGTGGTGTCATTTGTTATCGTTGTAATCAGTCGGGTCACTACAAGTTAGAGTGTCCACAGACATCGGTTAATTCTGGGGCTTAAGAATTGTACTAATCAGGGAGCAGGCACCGGTAGTGGCAGAGGATCACAACAGAGACCGTCACAGTCAGCTACAGTTTAGTTAGGTTTCAGACCACCACCATCACAGCCTGCCATGTCCTCTCAGGGCTCACGGCCAGTTAGGAGGGATACTCCTACTATATTAGTGCAGCAGTCAGGTGTTCAAGTTGGCAGTTCTCAGGCACAGGTATCACAGGGACCTGTCTTTGCACTTGCACCGACTGATGCATCTCCTGGATTGTCAGTTCTCCGAGGTATATTTCCAGTGTTTGGTTCTTAGGCCCGTGTTTTGTTTGACTCTGATGCATCTTATTCCTTTATATCATCATCATTTGCACTTGCATCAAGGTTAGAGGTCAGTTTCATAGATCGAGCGTTGTGTGTTGATACGCTAATTGGGGTTTCAGTGTCTTTGAGTCGAGTTGTGCAGGATTGTTCTATTGTGATAGCTGGACGGACTTTTGTGTTTGATCTTATCCTCCTGGAGATGACTAGCTTTGATGTCATTCTTGGGATAGATTGGTTAGCTTCCTTTCGTGCCACGATCGACTGTTTTAGAGGTAGAGTCACAGTTTGCACTCCCGAGGGAGACTGTTTCTTTTTCGTGGGAGATCGGAGTGATTTCCACATTTCATCATTTTATGGAGTTCGTGGACAGAGTCGTGGTGATTACTTCTTGGCTAGCCTTATAGCCAAAGAAGATGATGTTGTGAAAGAGGATTATCCTACAGTTGTTCGTGATTTTCTGGATGTGTTTCTGGAGGATTTGACAGAGTTGCCTCCACACCGAGAAGTGAAATTCTCTATTGATTTGATGCCAGGTACTGCGCCTATTTCTATGGCACCGTATCGTATGGTACCAATTAAATTGGAAGAATTAAAAAGGCAACTTGATGATTTGAGGATGAAAGGTTTCATCAGACCGAGTGTGTCGCCGTAGGGCGCACTGGTCTTATTCGCTAAGAAAAAAGATGGTTCCTTGAGGTTGTGCATTGATTACCAGAAGTTGAATCATGCCACCATCAAGAACAAGTATCCCTTGCCAAGGATAGATGATTTGTTTGATCAGTTGAGAGGAGCCAGTTATTTCTCGAAGATTAACTTGAGGTCAGGCTACTATCAGTTACGGATTAGGGATGAGGATATCCCAAAGACAGTATTCCGTACATGGTATGGACACTATGAGTTCCTTGTTATGCCTTTTGGCTTGACTAATACGCCAGCGGCATTCATGGACTTGATGAACCGCGTCTTTCACGATTACTTGGACCAGTTTGTGGTAGTTTTCTTGAATGACATTCTCGTGTATTCATGATCTAGGGAGGAGTATGAGATCCATTTAAGTATTGTTTTACAGATTTTGCGGGAGCACCGATTGTATGCCAAATATGAGAAACGTGAGTTTTGGCTATAGGAGGTGAAATTTTTAGGGCATGTTGTTTCAGAAGGTGGAGTGTCGGTGGATCCATCAAAGGTTGAAGTAGTTTTGACTTAGGAGCAACCCAAGAATGTTTTTGAGATTCGGAGTTTCCTTGGCTTAGCGGGTTACTATCGGAGATTTGTGAAGGATTTCTCTCGTTTGGCAGCTCCTATGACCCGTTTAACCCGGAAAGGGATCAAGCTTACGTGGAATGAAGCCTGTGAGTCATCCTTTCAAGAGTTGAAGACAAGATTGACTACAGCTCCAGTGTTGGTGATACCTGAGTGTAGCTTGGGTTATGTGATTTATTGTGATGCTTCGCGTGATGGTTTGGGATGTGTGTTGATGTAGGATGGTAGAATAGTGGCTTATGGGTCTCGATAGTTGAAGACTCACGAGCTTAACTACCCTACTCACGATTTGGAGTTAAAAACAGTCGTATTTGCTTTGAAGTGTTGGAGACATTACTTGTATGGTGAGAGATTTGACGTGTACTAGGATCATAAAAGTCTCAAGTATCTTTTCTCCAAAAATGACTTGAACAACAGACATAGAAGATGGATTGAGTTCTTGGAGGACTATAATTTTGACTTACAGTATCATCCGGGCAAGGCAAATGTGGTAGCAAATACCTTAAGCCGGAAATCTCGTGGAACTTTGGCTAGTTTGGCCATCCGAAAATGGAAGATGCTTGAAGATCTGGCAGAAATGGGATTGTATTGTTTTGATGACGATGTTGACAGTGAGCCAACATTCTTGTTTAGTCATGTGGCTCAGCCTACTCTTATTGTACGAGTGATTGAGTCACAGAGACAGGACCCAGATTTAGATGCCATTCACGTTTTGATCTCTAGTGGTGAGACAGTGAAAGATTGGGCCTTGCATACAGATGGGGGTCTGCAGTTCAGGGGTTTGTTGGTGGTTCCCACGGTTTGTCATGAGGACGTCTTATGGGAGTGTCACACTTCCCGCTTTGCACTTCATCCAGGTGGTACCAAGATGTATCACAATTTGAGACGTCAGTATTGGTGGAACGGGATGAAGAAAGATGTTACTTAGTTTATGGCTAAGTGCCTTACTTGTCAGCAGGTGAAGGCCAAGCATCAGAGACCAGCTGGTTTATTGCAACCATTGCCTATAGCGCAGTGGAAATGGGAACATATTGCTATGGATTTTGTGACAAGTCTTCCAAGGTCACGGAGGGGCAATGAAGTCGTATGGGTCATCATTGACAAATTGACTAAGACGGCTCACTTTTTGCCTATTAAGGCCAACCATTGGTGTTATTTATGTGAAGGAGATTGTAAAGTTGCATGGAGTTCCAGTAACCATTGTTTCAGATAGGGATGCCAAGTTCACTTCGAAGTTCTGGGAAGGACTTCAAGCAGCGGTTTGTTCAGCGTTGCACATGAGTACGGCATTCCATCCACAGACAGACGGCCAGTCGGAGCGTACTATCTAGATCTTGGAGGATATGCTTCGGGCATGTGTGCTTAATTTGGGAGATAGTTGGGAGGATCACCTTCCACTTATTGAGTTTGCTTACAACAACAGTTATCAGGCGAGTATCCAGATGGCTCCATTTGAGGTGTTGTATGGTAGACCTTGTAGGTCTCCTGTTTGTTGGACTGAGGTGGTCAAGACAGCTGCCTTAGGACTCGACATTGTACTTGAGACTACTGAGAAGATTAAACTGATCAAACAAAGGCTAATTATAGCACAGAGTCGACAGAAGAACTATGCAGATAGGCGGAGACAACCTCTATCTTTTGAGGTGGGAGACTATGTTTTTCTACGGGTTTCTCTACGGAAGGGGTTGATGAGATTCGGGAAGAGTGGCAAGTTATTGCCACGATTCATTGGACCTTTTGAGATCTTGGACCATGTAGGGGAGGTTGCCTACAGACTTGCTTTGCCACCATAGATGGATAAAGTCCACAATGTCTTTCATGTGTCGATGTTATAGAAATACGAGCCGGATCCATCTCACATTTTGAGTTGGGTTGATGTGGACATTGATGAGGATGTTTCCTGCGAAGAGGGACCAATTCAGATCCTTGACACACAATAGAAGGTGTTGAGGAACAAGACGATACCCATAGTGGAAGCTCTTTGGAAACACCACGAAGTCGAGGAGGCTACTTGGGAGCTCGAACAGGAGGTTCACTCCAAGTATCCAGAGTTGTTTTCTTCCTCAAGTATATATTGATTTTTGGGATGAAATCTTTTAAAGTTGGGGAGAATATAATGTTTTTGACTTTATATATATATAAATGTTATATTTATCATGGGACCCACCTATTTATTAAACATTTTAATGGCATGGGTCATTAAAGACCCATTTTCTCACGCTGCTTCTTTCTCTCGTTGTTTCTTTCTCCTTTTCTGCTTTCCTTTTTCTTTTCTTTTCCCACAAGCTTCCACTCTTGATTTCTCCCCCAATTCTTAGTGTTTTTAAGAGCCGTTTGCGGCTATTCGAAGCCCACGACGAGATCAACAAATTGATATGAGCAATTCCTTGGTTGGTACACTATAAGAAATTTGAAAATCCTAGGCTTTGAGGTGAAGAAATTGGGGGTTTTGCATAAAAGTAAGGTAGAGGTTCTAATTCACATGTTCTTGGGCTTTTTTGTGAATTACTTTACTTAATTGATGATTAGCGTGCTTAATTTGTAGAAAATTTCTTACTTTATTATATATATATATATATATTGTGCCAAGTTGTGACTATGTGTTGCTTGATATATATGATAATAAAGCATGTAAATTGTTGATTAATTCAAGCTTTTGGTGCCTTTAGTGCTAGTTTGGTGATTAAAAAGTATGAAATATAATTTTAGAATTTTTTTTATGGTGTAAAGCATGTCTAAGTATCAAATTTTCATGCCTATTATGATTAATTTGCTAGAATTTGCTATATGGAAGTGTGTTAATTTGTGAAATATGAAAATCTTATGTTGATTTGCGAATTGTAAAAAACAAAATCCTTCATTTGACATGGCATTGAGAAGTATAAGACATTCATGCATATCTTTGGGATAGAATGGGGGGAAAAAAAAAAAATTAATTTGAAAGAAATGAAATAAATTTTGGAAAAAAATTTTGAAAAGAATTTTTGTGAAAAAACCAGGCCGCCTAGGAGTTACCTAGGGACCGCGGCGTTAGTGAGGCTTAGAGGGGATTAGGGAAATCACCCTAGTGTGGTTGAGTTACCTGGACCCCAAATGACGCCATGGAGTTGCCATGGGTCAGGGACAGTGGCCAATCCTCCTCTCATGCCGCTATAGAGTTGCCATGGGACGGGTTCACTAATGGTTTGAAAATGATGATGGAAATGGTTTTGGAAAATGGGGAGTGACATTGCATGGCATGGCATATCATTGCATGTCATATTCATTTGTGGTATCGGATTAATGATGTGGTATTGTGGTTATTTATATTCTTATTTATATTCTTTTTTCCCGGCATGGTATGATCCATATTTCCTTATTCCTATTCATGGTGTGGATTCACGGAGTCTCAAGAGGTGTGCCTTAGGCACTTCCTACTGAGCTTATGCTCACCCCTTATATTTATCATTTTTCATGAAACGGGAAAGAAGTGACGGATGACATACCACCACAGGCCTAATTTGGATTGGAAGACCTTTTTGCTATTTTTGTTTTAAGTCCCATATTTTTTGTAAAACCTTAATTTGATATATGTAGTATAGAGATTTATGGACTCTTGCTATTATAGTTATATTTATGGGCTATAATTTTATTATAAGTTGTCTAAACGTAGTAAGACATGGACGTTTGAACTTAATTATATTTTTGGGACTGTAATTATGATATTTGGATTAAATAGCATGTAGTTGTTCCACCATAAACTGAACTATATTGAGATATAATGAATGGATGAATGTGATGCTGGAATATATTAATTGTATTATGTGTTGGGATAGGTCGGATATGTCTTGAAAGGCCAGGAAGGGCCATTGCGTTTTTTTAGCAGGTGGTTGTAGGCCCCTTTTGAGGGGAGGTCATGCCAATTTTTTTTTTTTTTTTAAATGGTATCGTTACAATAATTTATTTTTGTTTATTAATATAATATAACATATTTATTTATTCTTTCTTTATAACTGATATTCACTACTTATACTTTAGGACAAATATGTGAAAATATCTATTTATTCATTACTTATATTTTAGTAGGAGCAATAATATAATTTTATAGGTAAATATATTAAAATTTTAAAAATATTAAGGTATAATACTAAAAAAAAAACAATAGATCTATGCCTAAACTCGAGTATACCTTCCGAAAAAAAATTGAACTCGAGGAACAAAAGTCATTTATAATAAATTATGCTAGTACATATACATATGCATGTATGTATGTATATGTATACATGTATCTTCATAGGCTTATGTATAAGTATTATAGAGCAAACTTCTATATAGTATGAGACAATTCACTGCCAAAAGTCCTTTTATTGTTGGTTTGTTGCGAAAACTATTAGCAAATTTGCGTGGGATTCATATGTGGAAGGATTCACCATGTACTAAGTAATCACTAAGCTCAAGAGCCCTAAAAAGCCCCTTAGGAAGAAGTTTTTAATAAACTTCTGCACATATCAAGCTGAGATACAAGCTACCAAAGACCTTCTATCCAACTGCCAACTAGCACTTGATGCTAAAGGAGATGATATCTCACTTAAATGTCAGGAGAAACAGCTACTTGCCTCATATACTAAACTCAAGAATGCACAAAAACAATCTTACAAGCAAAAATCTCGAATTCAGTGGCTGAAAGAATGGGACTCTAACACAGATTTCTTCTACAAATCTATTGCCTTAAGGTGTAACAGGAATAAAATCTCATCAATCACAGCTGCTAATGGTGATCTTTTGGACACTGATGCTGCCATCAAGAAGGAAATTGTGGATCATTTCCACTCCACCTAGGGATGAACCCTTACCCTTACCCAGGTATGGATCTCTTAGCACCACTAATCCAACCTACATTGCCTCCACATTTCTTACAATCACTGTGTTCCATTCCAACTGATGATGAGATTCAACAATGCATGAACTTAATAATGATAAGGCCCCAAGGCCTGATGGTTTCAATGCATTTTTCTTCAAAGAGGTATAGCCAATTGTTGGGCCTGATATCATTAGGTCAGTTAGGGAGTTCTTTTCCACTAGCAAACTGTTGAAAGTGACTCCACATATCTCTCACTTGTACCCAAATCATTTAACCCTTCTTCCCCCAATGATTTTAGACCTATAGCTTGTTGCACTACTATATACAAATGTATTTCAAAACTCCTAGCCAACAAGCTCAAACCCACCCTATCACACATCATTGACCCTGCACAATCAACATTTATACATGGTAAACAAATTGATGATAACATCCTTCTTGCACAAGAGCTACTTAATGGTTACCACATACAAGCAAACTCACCAAGGTGTGCCATCAAAATTGACCTTAGGAAGGCCTTTGATTCTATCTCTTGGGAGTTCCTTTTTGACTCTTTCAAACTGTTTGGGTTCCCACCTACCTTCCTAAACTGGATACATGTTTGTGTCACTACCCCCACCTTTACCATCACAATCAATGGTGAATTCAATAGGTATTTCAAGAACATTAAGGAACTAAGGCAAGGTGACCCCCTATCACTATTCCTTTTTGTCATTGTAATGCAAGACTTCTCACTCATTGTAACCAAAGTCACTAAGGATTTGCCTTTCAAGCACCATTGGAGATGTAAAGAGTTACCCTTAACCCACTTAATATTTGCTGATGACCTAATACTATTCTCACATGGCAGTTTGTCCTCACTACATGCATTTAAACTTGTTCTTGATACATTCTCTAGCATTTCTGGACTCTATATAAACCAAACCAATAGTCAAATATTTCTCTCAGGAGTCATTGAGCAGTTGGAAGCTTCTATCCTCAACTTGGTTTTGAGAAAGGTGTCTTACCAGTAAAATATCTTGGTATACCACTAATTACCTCCATGTTGAAAGCCAATGATTGCAGAGTTATAATTAACAAAATAACCTCTAGAACTGCCACTGGACAAGCAAAAATCTAGCATTTGCAAGTAGACTTCAGCTAATCATTAGGGCTGTACTCTTCTAAACACAACAATATTGGAGCTCAAAATTCATATTATTAATGAGCATTATACATGAAGTGGAAAGTATTTTCAGATCCTTCCTATGGTCTGGTCCAACACTTAAGAAGCTTGGAGGCAAAATGAATTGGGAAATATGTTGTCTACCTAAAAGAGTAGGTGGGCTTGGCATTCCAAATTTATCATCTGGAATGAGATTGCCATCATGAAACTTTTTTGGAGAATCATTTCTTCAAAGGATATGCTTTGGGTAAAGTGGATTCACACATATCTACTAAAAGGTAGAAGTATTTTGGAGGTTAAAATACCTGGTCAATGCTCTTGGAGTTGGAGGAAGATCCTCAGCCTCAGGGGAACAATTCAACCTCTTGTCACGCTTCACTACAAGAAAAAAGGGCTTGTACGAGGGGCCAAAAATGTTGTGGAAACCTATTCACGGCGCATTCTAGGCCCTCGTGTATGAGGGTTCCGTAAATACTTATTTTTTTTTACGGGAAAAAATCTATCTCGTAAAAAAATAATAGATTCGCTGTAAAATTTTTTTTGTTTATATATATTAAATTTATTTAATTAACTTACGAGGCACCGGTGCATGCCGTAGAAAAGTTTTCTACGGCAAATTGTAACTACCCGTAAATAATTCAAAAGTTTTCTACGGCGAATTGTAAATTGTCGTAGAAAAGTTTTCTACGGCGAGTTGTAACTACCCGTAAATAATCTCACGAGGTACCGACGCGTGCCGTAGAAAACTTTTCTACAGCGAGTTGTAACTACCCATAAATAATCTCACGAGGTACAAAAGCATGCCGTAGAAAAGTTTTCTAAGGCGAATTTTAACTACCCGTAAATAATCTCACGAGGCATTAAAGCGTGCCATTGAAAACTTTTCTACGGCGAATATTAGGTACCCGTAAATAATATAAACCATTCTCACAACTTGCCATGTATGCCATAGAAAAGTTATTTAGGAGAATTTTCACTTATTTACGGGATTTCAAGCTCCCTGTAAAAAACATATATTAAAAATAAAACATCCTTAATTAATGCCAGTTAATCATCCACTACCTATAATTCACATCACTTTTAGCTATAATTCAATTCAAAAAACATACATATCCCATTAAATATATCAAAAGAGTTAAAATATTTTTACAATTTATCATTTATCAATGTGCCAAAACAATTCAACATTTATCAATGTTCCAAAACAGGAAAAAAATTCATTTGTTAAGAAAATCATCAATTTCTTAACACATCTATTGAAAAATTGATAAACCTTCTAGCACTTGAGTTTCAGTCTGCACTTATCAAAAAAACCACCTCACTGTACAAAATCCAAAGAAGTAGTTGCAAAATCCACGATACAAAATCCAAGAAAGTAGCTGCATCACACAACTCTCAAATTCAGAATACTAATAAAAAAGGGAAATAACAAGATTATCATTTATGAATCAAACACAAACATTTTGTAAAGAATTTCTTCCTTAGTTCTGCCAAAAATATTTCAAGCAGATAATTTTCCTTAATTGAATACTAGAGTTTTGCAAGGATGTATGAGAACAGACAATATCATAATCTCTTTATATTCATGAACACTACAATATCATAATATGTACTCTCTTTATCTCATGATTATGAGCAAATCTGAAACATTGTAGGTTTTTGGTGCAACGATTATGAGCAAATCTGAAACATTCTTATTGGTGTTAATTGTTGCAGGACCCATTTTGGAGCAGCTTTTTCAGGCGTAGTATACGGCTTTCTCACTTGCCCAACGCTGCAAGTGGAGGATACATCAAAAACTGGTCAAGAAGGAATCACTCTTGTTAGGCGAAATGCCGATCTTTTCTACACTAATTTAAACAAGTTGGGGCTTAAATTTGTTCAAGTTCATGCTTTTGGGTTGGGGCTAAATTGTCTCTTGGGTTGATGCCAAAGAAAGAAAAAACCATTAAGAGGCAGCTAAAGTTTTTGGGGTTCAAAGAAGTTCCTTATAAGAACTCAAATCATCAGTCTCTTTCTCTCTCTCTCTCTCTCTCTCTCTATATATATATATATATATATATATATATATATATATATATGTATATGTATATATAAATGTTTTCTCTTTCTTTTAGCTGTTTATGCTTTGAATTTTGTCATTAGATCTCACACATCCCTATCACATATAAAAGAGAAGATCTCTAGAAAAAGATGATGAAAAAAGGTTTGACCATAATCCAACAACAGCAACAACCAGTTGTATTGGAAGAGAACATGTCTAATTTAACTTCTGCATCCGGTGATCATCAAGCAAGTGTTTCTTCTGGCCAACACTACTTTTCTCCTCCACCAAATCAAACTTAACCAGCACTCAAGAAGAAGAGAAACCTTCCTGGAAACCCAGGTCTCAAATCATTATCTGAAATCCAATTTTTAATTTAATTTGTTGGTTTTCTTAACTGTTAATCAAATTTCTGATTTAGGTTTTTAATTTTTGTTAGATTTGAGTCAGACCTAGATCGAAGCAGAAGTGATAGCTTTGTCACCCAAGACTCTGATGGCAACCAACAGATTCATATGTGAGATTTGTAACAAAGGGTTTCAGAGAGACCATAATCTGCAGCTTCACAGAAGAGGCCAAAATCTGCCATGGAAGCTGAAGTAGAGAACAAGGAAAGAGGTGATGAAGAAGGTGTATGTGTGCCCAGAAGCTGGTTGTGTCCACCAT